TTTCTTCCGTGCATCACGGGCCCAGCTGTATACGACCAAACTGTATATACAACTTGCTACACGAGCCTCACACTGAGAAGTATATACCTAAACGAACTACCCCCGGCCGATACATATACAGAAAACACATTTCTCCTGCGAAAAAGAAGTTGTTTCATACCGCACAACTGCCAACATCCTCCATAATACAAGAATCGCCGATCTGAAAGTTATCATCATCAACAACACCAAAAGCTCAAACAACCCAAGAAAAGACCAAGAAAAAAACCGCCCACCATGTCCGCCTTCTTCGTCGAGCTGTGGGAGTCCATCTTCACCCCGGGCCCCACGCCCACCATCCTCCGCGCGACCAACGTCACCTTCGCCGCCCTCCAGCTCGTGCTGCTCCTCATGCTCGCCGCGACCCACTCCATCCACTGCGTCGTCCTGTCCGTCCTGTGCGCGGGGCTCTGGTGGTCCGTCAACTGGTTCGCCGCCGAGCTCTGGGCCGTCCAGGAGAGCGAGCGCGCCAGGGAGGAGAAGGAGGGCGGCGCCGACAAGGAGAAGAGGAGGAGGAGGGGGCAGACCGAGCTGGACACGGGGGACAGCGATACGGAGGTCGAGGTGGACACGGGCAGGATCCCCGTGTCCGCCGATGCCGTCTCGTCCGTGGTCGAGGTTGTGGCTCCCGAGGGGGAGCTGAAGAAGCGTGGCGAGGATACGCCGGCTGGCACCCAGTCGAGTGCCAGCACGGAGGATGAGTGGGAGAAGGTTTCGGAGAGCGAGAAGGAGAAGGACAAATGAGTGAAATCCCGGGCCAGTAACAGCAGGTATATACCGCAAGCTTCCCCTCCAGGTCTTGGGAGGGTGTGCGCAGTCGGATGGTTTGATGAAGCCAAGGAGACATAAACAGATCCCATGAACATTCTCACGAGTCATGTCTTAAATCGCTTTTGCTTCACAGCGTGTGCACTGGATGGCTAGAGTCAGTGTGTATTGAGTGCGTGGTGGAATTTTCATTTAGATTCATAGATCAATCGACAGACTCTGATCATCTGGAGAGATGTTTCCCAACCCATTCCAACAAGCGCCTCTTCCCTTTCCTTTCCCATAACACCGACCCTTCTAACCCGAAAGTGCCCATTCCCAACAGATATCTAAACTGATAATGACAAGACATGTGACCATGACATTTCCTCGAACCTCTCTATACAGCTACCAGGTCATTTGAACATAATTTTACAAGTATTTTAGCTTTCGGGTTGCGTATGCTGCGTACAGAGTGCTCATCGCACCAATAAACAAGCAGACCGAGATTGCGTTGGGGCCTGTCGCGCTGGGTGTGTCTTCGGACTGATCGGGGTTTGCCAACTCTGGGCTTTTGCCGGGTTCCAGGATCGAAAAGACGATCATCGATATGAAAGTGCCGACAAACTGGGGCAGAGTTGTGAATATGTTCAGAATGCCAAAGTATATACCTGACAATTCTCCTGTTGAAGCATGGGTGCCACCATCCTCAGGCTCAGGGTCGTGCTCAAGGTGCAATGCGCCCCCACCGGAGGCGAGAGAAGGCATCTCGATATCAGATGCATCAGATAGACGCCGATACTGACCTGTCCCGTTCTCAGTCGTAGTAGTGCCGCCGAGTCTGTTGACCTCTACGCCTAGAAATGCGCTGGGTGCCCACGAGGCAAGAGTCCAAGGTCTGTTTCAAAAATAGGTAAGTCAGCGCTCCGTCTTTAAGCCATAGATACATCCGAGGGGAACAACTTACAAACCACACAGGCAAACAAGCAGAGTTGCGAAACGGAAGCTTGTGGCAAATGGTGCTAATGACATGGCGCAGGAGAACATGAGGTGCCCGCATATCCAGGCCGTTAGAAGATTCGGTTTCATCGTCTCCAGCTTGACCAAGAAGCCAGCCATATACTTTGGCGGACGGCGCGTAAAGTTTTGGTCTTCAGGCGACTCCACGAGGAACGGGAGAACGAAAGCGCCGGCGAATGTTATGGCCGAGTAAATGACGAGTGCCGTGCTACCAATGCGGCCCATGTCACCAAGCGCGTCGGTGGATGATTTGGCGTCCTTGGGGGCATCGTACCGGAAGTAAGTCTCGCCAACCCAAGTGGTGCTATAGAAGAGGAAAGGGAACCATCCGATCCAAGACCAGAACTGAGCCCAGCAGATAGCCTTGATTCGCGGAGGAAGGTTAGATATTGTGTTCCATATTTGCTTGAACACTTTCAGGCGGCCCTCGTTGCTGGGATCTGCCTTGGGCGAGATCAGGACCCTCTCAGTAACGGCCCAGCAGGTCAGGGCATTTGTCGTCGTGATCGCAAACACAGCCATTATCGTGAGTTGCTTGAACTGGGTATCACCAAAAGTGGTGCCAAAGATCTTGACCATGTCTACGGCCCCAGCGGCGTAGCCGATTAAATTGCCAACCGCGGACATTCGACTGACTGTGATTAATTAGTACATTTTCTCGCGATTCGGAAGAATAACAAGCTGTAGACGTTGGACTTACACCAAGCGGCACCGGTTTGTTGCTTCTCAATAGGAAGTGTATCAACAACCAGGCTCCTCGAACACGACATGACTGTACACACCCTAGTTAGCAATGCGATCGGTATGGGCTGCCCAAGGGAACTTTACCCACCCGAATTGATGGCAAAGTCGACGACATAGATGGCCAAGACGGCCAGAACAATGGTCGGGCGACGGGCTTTCTCCTCATCCTTCTGAAACAACCCTACGATCTCCTTCGTGAACCCCAGGACCAGCAGGCTTAGGGCCACGATGATCGTCCCGATGACTATTAGAGGCCGTCTCCGGCCCCATCTCGATTTGCTCTCGTCCGAAATGACGCCGACCACGGGCTGGACGATTAGCCCGGACAACGGCCCTGCGATCCATACCAACGAGGTGTTGCTCTTCGTAAGACCAAGGTTGAGCAGGTAGGGCGTGCAGTCTGTCAAAAAGAAGTATAGGGTTAGCGCTGCACATCCTCAGGGTGGCTAGGTGTGGAAGGAGCCCGGGGACGCACATGTCATTTCCATGCCCCACGTGAATCTATATCGAGTACTTGGTCAGTCGCGCGGCCTCCCTTATCAGACATGAAGATGAATAGGTACGCACGCTACGCCAATGGCACTGAATGTCAGGAGAACCATGCGCGTCGTCTCCGAGTTGCCCCGGACGGACGGTTGCCCCGACCAGCTCGCCATCTTCTCCCGTCTGAAGTCTACTTCGACTCGTTGGTTGGAGTGGAAGCGCTGATCATCTGTCGAATCTCGGGGCCAGTGCGGATGCGCGTTGGTGCCCCCATCAACGGTACTCGGGTGCGCAGCAAGGACGTCGTCGTGCTTGAACTGCGGTTCCGATGAAGGACTGAAGGGCCAGAAGAATCGGGAGGCTCTGGGCGGAGGGCGTTGAGTGTTGATGGCGAGCTCGTGGGAGCTTGGGGCTGGAGAATCGCACGCTAATCTGCTGCGCGGCGTGGATTCGCGCGGTCCAGACGGCGGTGGTGGGTCGTTGTGGCCCATGGGGGAAGGGCCCATTTCCGTCCCGGGGTCATAAATAGGACTTTAGGGGTTTGGGGGCTGGATATCAGTATTTATACGAAGGATCACTTTGATAGCAACACTCTGCGACAGCTTCTCGAGAGCGGTGCAATCTGGAGCTGCGAATGATCGGGGCGATAAGAGGAGGCGGGCCATGCTTGCAATTGTTATTACGGTAGGTACGACTAGTGGTAGCCGCAAATAGCCTGCCTGCCTTACCTTCAATCGTGCAGCGATGCTCGGCAAGTACGAGGGACGGGAGGAAGCATTTCGGGAAAGCGCGCCTGCTCCAGCCCACAGCCGCTGACAACTGACCTTCCCGTTAGCATCTAGGGGTCCATGCCAGTACCTGCTGGGTACCTGCCGGTACCTGGAACAAGACGCTACGCTATTGGCAACGGTTGAACCATCGTAGTACTCCCATGTCCATGTTCTGGCTTCGGCAGATCAAGTCTCAGCCCAGCATTGAGCGAAAGCAGCCGATTACAAGTGACGTCCAAATTTCGGATGGTTGCAGTGCTGACAATCGCAATTGCTCCACGTCTACCGGCAATGGTGGCATTTCCAATCTGCTACGTGTTAGTATACCTGGTGCTCACTTTGGTACTTCTGTCATGTTTAGGCAATGTGTAATCCAGCCGGCACTTCCTCAACAGGATTAGTATCAACATTGATGAATTCCCTAACAATGCTGGTCGTACCATATTCGACATTTACACCTTGCATTCTTTCATTCAAAGTTCTGGCCAATTGTGATGTACATAAATCTGTTGGTATCTGGGGTGGAGCGAAGAAAAAAGGAATTGAGGAAAAAAAGGCCAACGAAACTTCCGGCCTCCCATGTCTGGATCACGTCCAACCAAATCGTGTCCATAGAGCCCTTTCTCACACTCTCTCCGTTCGTAACAAATAACAGCAAACCGTTGCCAAAAATAGCGAGAGCAAAAAGGAAAAAAGAAAAAAGGAAAAGGAAGAAAAATTGAATAAGAAAAAACACCTGGTATTTTATCGTTCCAACGCCTGTGTACGAAACTTCCCCTTCTCCTTGTTCCCGCATTTTGATGATTATTTCATTTACATAGTTTCAAGGTTCAGATACTTCATCTTGTTCCCCTCCCTCCCTTCCAGAAATCCACAACGCAGGGTATTATATGCCATCGCTATAGGACTAGCCTGACATGACATCACGTCCCATGGCTTACAAAAGGAAATATCGGACAACATGGTGAATGTAGAGCGAGCAAACATATAGATATAGTGTGAAAAGGCGGAAGAAGCAGAACCAGCAAAGAAAGAACGCCCGCTCATCGGCCTCAAGACTTGCCCCTACAGTATTTCTGTGTGACAAACAGCTGGGTCAAATGTATCCGTGGATGAAAGGTCGTTATCTCATGTGTATGTTTGTACGCCGGGTGCCGGCGCCCTCTATTATCGGTATTTGGATGCGGATAGATAGTGTTATGAATCTGCAAGCTTCGCAAAGTGCTTGGACCAGATCCAGCCAACCTGCTCGCCTGGGTCGTCTTGGTTTTTGGCAAGCCATAGCTCGCCCTTTTCGGCTATCACGTCAAAGATCTACTCTGAATGTTAGCAAACACAAGAAGAAGAAAAAATAGGATCGCCCCTTCGTCATCTAAGATACGTACCTCACCAGCCTGATATACGAGGTATGGATAGCCGGCCTCGTGTTTGGTGGTGGCAATGTTGAACTCGAAGAGCGATGCCGCAAGCCAGAGAACGTTGTAGCCATCATGTGTCGGAACTCTCTCCCGAGATGATGCGCGGGAAGACCGATCTCTATCTTCTGGGCCGTCCGGTAGCGGCAGAGCCGAGTGGAACAATCCCGAGAATCTCTTGTCCTGAGGCACTTGGCTGGAGCCATATGTAGTATTTGAGTCACGACGATGGAGGGACGCCGACTCCGTGCTCTGCCTCGGGACGGGGCCGGAATCAAAACTCCGCCCGGTGCTAGGTCGAGTTGACGTGGGTGCCGTTCCAGTGACGGACCTTGAGCTGTTCGTCATGTCCGTTGTGACTGCCGAAGTAGAACTGCTGGACTGCCCCGCCCCTGCGTAGTAGTCTCTGTAGTAGTATTGATGGGGGCTGGCAGGCAAAGGCTTGTTTCCGGTTGTGGGTGAATTGGATAGAGACTCGCTGTTCCGCTTGACAAAGTCTGGAGTGGGCAGAGAGGGTATTGATTCGCCGTTTAGCGATAGCTGCCGGCCCCGACCCGTATCGACATCAGAAGGTCGCGGCGAACGGATTTTGGATACAAGAACATCATCGCTGCTTGCTGCTGTCGACTGGGACGGGCGACCCTTTGGTATTGGTTGGAGAATGCCGATGCTCGCGAGCTGTTCCTGCACATAAGGGAAGTCTCTCTGAAACGAAGCAACGACTTCTTCGAGATCAGGCTTGTCTGGGCAGTCGACCAAGACCTTCTTCATCTTCTCCTTCCAGATCCCGTACCACTTCGCCTGGATCCGGACAAAGTTGCTGAGACAGATGTTGCCAACCTTCTCAGTAAGCGTAGAAAGCTTTGGCAGTTCTTTCTTGAGAGTGTCGTTGAGAGCCTCATATTGCTCGACAAGCTCCAAAAGCTTCGCGTCACCTGTCTTGCCTCCGCGCTTCAGCTGTTCCATGCGCTCAAAGTCGAGTCTTCGCTTTTGCCGCTTCTTCATCGCCAGTGACGGGTTGCCGTATGCCTTGATTACCTGCTCGAAAGGCTCAATGACGTGCTTTCGAACTTGGGTCAAATGATCGTCAAGGGCAACCTTTTCTAGGTCCCGGATGGAAATATTGAACTGGACCCATTTGCTCTCGATTTCAGGATAATTGCCCGATTGCAGCCTCATCACAAGCTCGACCGAGGATAGGTAGTTGAGGAATTCTCGCACATAGGTGGCCACTTGCCGGGTGTAAAATTCAACATCACGGAGTACCACCTGCAGTCTGAGAAAGTCATCGCCAAACTTCTCACTCATCTTGGCGTAGTCAGGGTCCTCTGGAGGTCGATTTCCTGTTGGTTGTAGCTTATCCACTCTCTTGCCGAAAGCTCGGGCAATGCCTAATTTCACGTCGGATTCTTTTCGCTTCCTGTTGCCCACGATCTGGCCAACGAGCTCAAAGTTCTTCTTGGTCTTATTAATCTCAATGATAGCTGTCTCTAAAGTGTCTTTGGCTGATGTAAGATATTCTCGATCTGGGTGATCTTGGGGCGTATGTTGTAAAAGAGTGATGATGAGATTCGGATATTTGGTGATACGTTGCATCGGTTTGATCAGGAGTGAATCCAGGTCCCACGCGGCAGTGAGGTCTTTGGCCACTTCATTACACTCATTCAACCAAACCTTGACTGTTGGATCCTGCTGGATCTGTATTAGTCTCTTTGCCGCCAGGTCACTGCTTCGTAGGAAACCTTCGTGCACTGCCTGTAACTGCTCCATATTCTGGTGGAACACGGGCCCGAGCAATACCTCGCGGTCTTTCGCATCGCTGACTGTTTTGCTCGAAGGAGGGGGCTCGACAGAACGATCTTCTTTAGGCACTTTGCGACCTGTTTTCGGCACGTAGACACTGGAAACCGCCTCCTTGATCTGGCCAAGAAACAATGTGTGGAACGTGATGATCTCATCCGTGTTCCTAAATATCTGCTTGACAGTCTTGTTGTCCAACTTGGGACAAGCTTCTGCGGTGCCTTTGTAGATTTCTTCTACAATATTCATATCTCTGACAAAGACAGCCTCCGTGTCTAGAAGCTCTTTGATGACATTGCGACGCTGGACCAAACGGCGCCGGTCTTTGTCAGTGAGCTCCTCCCCTTCTGTAACATCTGGATTCACGCCAGCATCCCCGTTGGGCGAGGGCCCGAAGTACTGGTCCGAGGTGGCAATGGAGTTGGTATCAGCAGTTTGAGGAGTCTCCATCTGGGAGGCGAAGTCGCCGCTCTCACGGCTGGAGGATATCAGCGTGCTTCCACGCTGTGATTGATCATAGAATGCGCTCGAAGCTCTTCTGGAATCCATCGCCGAGCCAGAAGCGGATGGTGGAACGGGGGGCGGCTCATGGCCTAGTAAAGGTATGTAAGGTGAACTCGCTACCTGGTCGGTTGACAGATAGGAAATTGCGAAACCATCACCGGTATCAGTCTCTGGTGACCGGTAGTCCAAAAATGCCGACGAACCCCTTGAGCTGCTGCAGGAGGGCCGTGCGCTCGCTTGTTCATCATATGCCTCTTTTGACTGCAACTCTGTTTCTCGTGATATCACTGAGGATCCAAATATGGTCACATGGCCGAATGCGGACTGCGGCTCGTTGTCATCATCGTCCTGCAGCAAATCCGGGGATTTTTCCAGATCAGAGTGAGCAGATGTGTCAATAGTGAGATCGGTCCAGGCCGAGTGCTGGCTGATTCTTTTTGAATTCGTCGGCGGGACCAGCAGGCTATTGGGCTGGTTTTCAGGGAGTTGGTTTTTGAAGGTTAGGTAATCAAGATCATCACCTGCCCCAGGATCGGAAGATGCGCACGAAGAAGCCCTGCGAGATGAAAGATGGTCGCCAAAGCGAGATTCGGACTGGCAGTCTTCTGCTCTCCCAATATCATCCGTGCTCTCAGTGCAGGCGTCTGTCCCAATATCTTCGTGGTCATGAATCAGAGTCGATCTATTTGATTCAGGGATATCCTCGTCATATTCAGTGTGACAATCTGATTCATCCATCATGTCTAACCTGGGGAAGGGTACGGTTGGAGGTTGCTCGTCTAATGGGTGATCATGGTCGATAGCGCTGTCAGGCGGTGAGACTACGACAGCGGCTTCAGGCTCGTCTGTCTCTGATTGGGGGATCATCTCCTCGCCGGCATCGTCATCGTCCCCAAATGCGCCTGGAATGATCTGTCGCAGGCGAGGTCTGACCGTCTCGATGCTACGAGACTTGGATGGCTCCTCTGGTGCAAGCTTGACAGAAGCGGGCTGTTCTGGTGATTCTGGCTCATCCTCGAACGGGTATTGGTACTCCGCTCGTTGGCGCGACGCAGGATGCTGGGGGCTTGGCAATTTAACCACTGCAGCCGGGGCCTTGGGAGGTGTCGCTGGCGTCTCCGCAAGGTTGGGTTGAGGCTCTGTGTCGAATTCCGTGGTATCAGACACCGGCGAAGCGGTCGACCGCAAGTGCTCCGTCGTCTGGAGAGGGGGGGCAACTTCGGGAAAGCTACCCGGAACTCCCAATGTCGGCGAGTCAGGGACTTTGACGATAGATACGGTCGAAGCAAGTTTATCGTCGGCCGTCGTACTGACTAGTCTTGGTGGTACTGGCGTTTCGTTGAGAATATCTTCTCTGGCCTCGATGGGAGTCGTCTCCTCCGGTGTATGGGGCTCTTCAACGATGGTGTGGACAGTGTCTCCCTTGAGTTGTTCTATAGTCTCTAGTGTCTTCTTCCCTAGCGACTCGTGCGTATCGGGAACCATGGATGCTTTTGTGGCGGCCTCGGCAGCGGCTTTGGCCTTTGCGGCCTCTTCCATTTCCTTTCGTCGCTTCTCCGCTGCTCGCTGCCGCGCTTCCAGGGCCTGGCTTTCCTTTAGAGACTTGCTGTATGCGAGTCGGATATGTTCACGGCGCTGCTCAAAATCGATGGGCCCAACCGAGATCTTGCGCCGTCTCGCCGAAGGATCTATAGGCTTCGAATGCATCAGTGCTACAGACGCACTAACAGACCTCTGCTTTTCGACAGATTTTAATCGGGAGCTGGCTGTTGTTGCGACGGACACCGGTTGGCGGGGCCGAGAACTTCTCAAGGGCGGCGAGAGCTTTGGTTGAGGTATGGCATATGCCTGAAGCCGGCCGTTGCTGTTGGGTGTAGGAAGCCCGGTTGAAGATGTTTGAAGTCTAGTGCCGGATTGTATAGGAGTTCTAGCCCTGGATGTTGGGGTTTTGGCACGAGTGGTAGGAGTAGTGGCTCTTGATGTCCTACCGTCTCCTGGTTGGCGCTTGAGGGTTATCGGCGAGCTGGAGCGAGTCGACGAGGGGCTGGATGAGTCGTCAGGGCCATTAATCTTCCGTACTGACCGAGGCAATTTGGATGATGAGGGTGGTAGCCTTGGGTCGGGGGAGTTTGGTTTTCGCGTCGCTGGTTTGCGGGCTATGCGTTGGGGAGGGGGTTTGCGACTTGATGCATCGCTATGGGATCGTGAGGACCTGGTGGTAGGAGCCGGCACAGGCGGAGGCTTCGTCTCTGTATTTCCAGCAGCGTTGGGCCAACTGCCTGGGGACGGTAGGTCGACGTCGGGGTCAGAGAGGCTTCGCTGATGTGTCCATTGGCCATTGGTGCGGGACTCTGTTGCTTCAGGTTGCCGTAGGCTCTCGATACCAAAACCCAGTGCTGAGGTGTCGTACTGCTCCGGCAAGATCTCGCCGAAGAGTAGACCCTGCGAGTGGATTGTATTTGACGAGGTCGGTGACAGGGACTGTTGTGGTGAGGTGGTGTTGGTTGACGGATGCGTCATGGAGGGCGACGATTTTGGGTTTCCGCTAGTAGCGCTCCGGGGCTTGGCTAGGCGGCTCGCAAACGACTGTGAGTTATTCGACACCTGATCCTCGGCCATGAATTTCGGTCTTTGGGTATGTGGAGAGGTCGCAGAAGGCTTTGGATTCGCAGAAGCCTCCGAGGCAATTCCGCTTCGAACGGCCGAGTACGAGGGCGAGGATGGTTGCTGCCGCTTGACACGAGACGGGACTACGGTCGGGCGTGGTGCACGCGGAATGGAGGTGCTGCCGCCATTTTGCTGATCAAATCGCTTCTTCAGGTCCTTGACGCTTGGTTTGCCAGAGGGCATCCGGGGCCCGCCCTTGCTGTCGACTGGATTCGAGACGGATCGAAGGTTGCTGGGTCTTGGAATGGTGAGAGCCGGAGCAGCGGGGGCGGCATGGTTCTGTGATCCGCCATCGCCATTGGGATGCACCGGCGGCGAGCGAATCGAGGCCGAAGCCATGGCGAAGCCGTCGGGGTGGAAGTGGCTGTTGTCGTGGTGGTGGACTCGGTAGGTGTTGTAGAAGTCATCGGGGTTTACGGGTGAGAAGACGGCATGTTGATCGTCTGAGCCAGCAGTCTGATGCTCGTGGACCAGAGCGGTCCGGGAATTCTGCTGGGCGGCGAGATAGTTGAAGGAGAGGAGATCCTGGTGGTGGTGAGTCTGCAGCTCAGGGAGTCGGTGGTGCAGATGCTGGGCGTCCTGGTCGCGGTGTTGAGCTGTTTCGACATGGGCATGGTCAATGTTGGAGGCTTGCCCTTGCAGGCCAGCAGCGTCCAAATCGCTGTCCATGGCGGACAGGCCACTATTGCACGCACTTTAGAAGCATCCGTTAGGCTCGTTAGGTGGGAGCGACCGAGAATGTGGGCATTGATCGATGCGTTGGCGGGTTGGGATGCCCAATATCAGCGAGGGTGTTGATTGGAGCCAGTGCCGTGCACCACAAAATACATTGATACGCAGAATGGTCCTGCTCTCACTTCGACCTCAAAAGGTGGCACCCACAATGCGCGGCACCTAGGAGGCAGGATGGCAGGCTACGGCTCCAGAAGGCAAGGTGTGGTGCCTGAGTCCTAGCTTGGCCAACACGGCTCGTTGGCAGCGCTTCATCGGCGCTGCCCTGGACTTGGCTTGTGCTAGCTGGAGGCAAAGGTTCTGGCCAGTCCAGGGGGGGACCCAGGGGCACCGGCCTGGGAGTGGGGTTGGCCGCCGAGAGAACGGGTCCAAGGGCTGGGTAGCGTGTACCTCAGCCGTCGACGGGGAGTGTGCTGGGGCTGGTTCGACCACGCTTGCTGCCAGGTACCAGATACCACACCCGTTCCTAGAGATGGGCAGAAAACAGTTCCCAGTGGCTACTGCCCCCCGAAGCAGCTCTCGAAGCGGGTTTCTGGGAACCAATCCTGTCCCGGAGACTGACAGCGCCACGAATGGGGGCCCCATTGCCCCGTTGCGAGGGACTTGGGCCTCGCGATGCATGAACAAAGACATGCCAATTTCTAATCGTATTGTCATCCGTACATGTATCCAGCTTTCTCTTCATGGGCTTCGTCTTTTCGATGATGATATATCGGTCGTAGCCAAGCAGGCAGATCTCCAGCTGGGGGTTCAAGTTCCTATCTCCGTCGGCTTTCCTTTCCTTGCTTTTTCCCCCTCCTTTGCTTTTTGGACCCCTTCCTCCCTCCCTCCTTGCCTCCCACCTGATTGATTGTCGCTCGACCTGCGACAAAAAAAAGGGCGCTTGGATTGCACCAGGCACTCCACGGCCAGACCAAAGGAATCGTGTCCCCCCATCTTGATTCATCTATTGGTCCGCGTCCTCCCCCAGCTCGCTCGCCTGCAGAACTGCGATACAGGAGAAAGACGGGATGGGTGGGTTAGTTGGTCGTTGAGTGGACATCAACGGTAAGACATGTCGACCCGTCCACACACACGCATCTTCCCGCCATTGGTTGGCAATCTGGTTGAAATCCAGGACCAGATCCAATCGAGGCCAAAGACCCCTGGCGGCTTGATCATCTAAGTTTGGGGGGGCAAGGGGGGGCACAGACTGCTGAGACTGAACTGGCCATGGCCAGACTTGCATATTAAATGTCGTCCCACGAATGCAGGACTACCTCCCGCGTGTGGCATACAAATGGCATTCATGCTCTAGCTGCGCGGCTTATGCACCAACCATCCGCCTTGACCGACTAGGCAGGCACCAAGCGCAGCCTTCTCTCGATGGAAACTATCCGTCGCCGATCATGTTTGAACTATGATGAGCTATTCCCACCCGACTTCTTCTCTGCCTAGGCCGGCGAGCAGCGACAATTTGTGGCAACGAATCAAGATTGCTTGCGGGGTGGGCAAAACCTTATTGTTCCACGTCCTACCGGCTCCTTCAGGCTGGCGGCGCTTTCGCTCTCTGTACCGTGCCTCTTTCAGGGTCGAGACAACGGGGCTGCACTTATATCTGCCGTCAGCAGCACCAAGTTTTAGTGCCGCCTGAGGTATGTCAGGCTACATGACTGGTACTTGTCTCCTGTAGCCAATTCATTTTCCTAGTAGGTAGGTCCTAAATGATGTGAACGCGTTCCAAAGAAAACCTGGAAATTGAAATGAGAATGCTACATTTTGCAGCCAACATCGGCATTAGGCCCCGTCGTTTGCGAATATCCGGCTTGCCTGTCCGCGTCAAGAGAACGCAACCACACCAGGGACGTGCGACAACTGGTCGGCCGGTAGCGTCGGCCCTCGTCCTGCCCCTGCTGATGTCACATGCCCAAAAGGTTTACGAGCAGCCTTGCTCGCGCGACAGCTCCAGCCTCCCAGGATCACCAGATTTGGTGGGTGACTTCGGGAAAATGAAGCCAGCCTAATAGCAAGCCAATAAACGACACGAGCTAAAATAGTTTAAGATTATTGAGCGTTCCTAGGCGAATAAAGATATCCGTGGATACATATGCCCGATATGTTGATGGCGCTATTGTGCAATCGCGCCTTCACAACAATCTCTCGCTCAAGTCAAGGTCACAGTGACCCTGACGGCTGTAGTTCTTCCGCCGATATCACGAACATTATGACCCAACCAGTCCGAGGTACCCGCCTGCCAATCTGACAGCGTTGTACGTAGTCGGTGCCGGGGAAGCATCCGATTTTGACAATGTCGCGCATCTGAAATGAGGTCGTGCCATATATGGACCGTTTCACTCGTACATGATTAATTTGAGTCGATCGACTTTGCTCGTCCGGGCAATTAGCTCCTGCAACGACGCTGTTCCGTCCCTCCTTGGCCTGGGCCGTGGAATGGGCCAAGTGCCAACTGCAGGTGGCTCCCTGTTTGTGCCTTCCTCACCACCGCCTTCCCAAACCACTGCCCACCAATAGCCGAATTGGAACGCGTCCAGCCTGAGCGCGTCTTTGCCTTGGTTCTTTTATCATGACGCAATTGACCGCTAACAATAATACCCGCTTCCGTCTAAAGCCTACTAGGTAATCATCACCCAATTATCTACCACCACCTGCTTCATCCATCCATTCCCCCATGCTAACCATGACGCGTAGAGCGAAACGTAAACGCAACAGCCAGAAACCTGATGCGGACCAAGATGCCCCGCAGAATAGCTCTTCGTTGGTTACCCGAAAGCTCCTCGAGCGCTGTTTCCCATATGTCCAGACGCTGAGGCAGCATCTCCTGTCCCAGTTACCAAGTGCCTCAAGACTGCGGAGGAAGAAAATCACAGCCCTCACAGCCCGCGACGCATCAAGCAAACTAGAGGGCCGTGTAGCGGCTTTGCTTGACACAGCCCTTGTATGCAGTCGATTGCCACAAGCACAGAAATCTGAGACTAGTGATATTCGCTGGGAGCAATGGAAGAGCTTCTCCCAGAAAGGGGATGAGTCCTATGTATCTATCTCTGATACTCGTAGTGCGAAGCAGAGCCAAACTGAGGTTTGCTCCCTCTCCACCTCCTGAGATATAGTGAGATGATAGGCCCTGACACACCCAATCCCACCTTAGATTCTCGAGTTTGTCGTCTGGCTGCTTTTTAATAGAGAGAAGACCACAAACACGCAGCCATGCCATGTCCTATGTAACGGGTTTGACGTAAAACCAGGGAATGGGGATAAGGGAGCAACCTCGATTCCTGGTGTTTACAGCCGATTCCCAAGCTCAAGTTTCGAAGCCCTCGGGGGAGCGCCATGGCCTCAAATTCTTGCCCTCCTAGGCCAGTCTGGGGAACGACTCATGATAGATCTTCTTCTTGATTACTCCCTTTTTGTCGCTGTTGATGCTGGCCATGGGAACCTTTACCAGTTGAGTGGTAGGCATTGGTTGAAGAACTCGTGAATTGGCAGGACTTTCTGACTGACAGGGAGCAGGCGTTCCACTCTTCATGTCCTCTCTCCCTGTCGACGGTCAAGCTGCAACTGTAGCGGATGCCAAACCATTTTGTCGTAAACCGGGAGAGATAACTCTCATGAGAAACAAAACGTTGTATGCGAAACCCTCATTGACTGCCGCGGGCACGGTCCAGACAGGATTTAGGCATATACGTATGAATTCCAACCCTACAAATCTCAAGCCCTTGAGTATGCTTCTAACCCCTGCAGATGTTCTGAACCGCTGCCCATGCGTTAAGCCAGAGGGTGACGAGCCATCACCAGACGAGAGAGAGCAAAACGAAGCCAACACGACCAAGGTTATGATGTACATGTTCCCGCGCCAGTTCGGATTGCACAATGCGTTCACATCTGAAGTGGACAAGACTCGTACCACGATGAGATTTCAAGACTATACATACAGGGAAGACGAGATCAACGAAGCTATTGGCTTTCGCTCCGATTTATCCAAGAAGATGAAACCTACAAAGTTGCCCAAGCGGCTGAAGGGGATTGCCAGAGATTTGGTAACAAATCTCCAGGTTCGACACAGCCGCTGTGCCTACTTTCAGCTTCTGCGGCACTACTGTCCTTCGGCCTGGGACACGCACCACCCAGCTCAAAATCTCGCGACTCAAGCCTCGCCCAAGGCACCCAAACAACAGAGGGACGGCCCGAATATTGATGGTGTCGTATTTCAAGGCACATCACGACCAAAGCGAGTCGGACACAAGACACATTCGCAGCCATGCCATTCCAATATGCCCTCATACAACACCCTCGTAGAACTCGCTTGTCCGATTGGCAATGTCTCAGCATACTGCCAAGCCGTACTCGCGAAAATCGTCCCGGACAGGTTTTGGGGGGAGGGTGACACAATGGTGCATAATAAGAGGATGTTTCGATCAAAAGTGGACCATTTCATTAGACTGAGACGATTCGAGATCATGTCACTGCATGAGGTTGCGCAGGACCTGAAGGCGAGTTTGACGACAATCAGATTCACCGGACAAACTCTCTAACCTGACCGTGTTTAGGTGGTAGACATCCCCTGGCTGAGCCTGCCTCACCTCGCTGGTCAGAAGACCAGCCAGACAGATATTCTGAAGCGATACGAGCTATTTCACGAGTTTCTCTACTATGTTTTTGACTCACTTCTCATCCCCCTTATCAGAAACAACTTTTACGTGACGGAATCGAACATCCATCGGAATCGGCTCTTCTACTTTCGCCATGACGTTTGGAGGCGTAGCACAGAGCCTGCCATGGCGAAGCTGAAAGAAGATATGCTCGAACCTCTCAGATTGGCTGACGCCACACGCATACTGGACTCCCGACGGCTGGGATTCAGCCAGCTCCGATTATTGCCAAAGACGCTAGATCTGAGACCGATCATGAACCTAGGCAAAAAGATGCCAGGAAAAGGCCGATCCAAGACGTTTGGGGCAAGCATCAACTGGGAGCTAAAACCGATCCACCACATGCTCAACGCAGAAAAAGTGAGTCAAATGTCATGTCCCCGCGTGGATCTACGATGGACTGGAGGGTGTGTGGGCTTTGTTGCTAATTTGGGCAAACCAGGCCATGAACGCGTCCAAGTTGGGATCATCAATGCTCTCCACCGGCGAGATCTATAGTCGCCTCAAAGAATTCAAGCAAGCACTTGGAAGCGGGGCAAGCTGCAAGCGCTTTTACTTTGTCAAGATTGATGTCCAGGCCGCGTTTGACACGATTCCACAAGAAGCAGTGATCAAACTGATGAATTCAGTCCCCAGCAGGGGACACTACACTGTCGTCAAACATGTTGAAATGATGCCGGATCCTCGGACAGACTCGGCCAATGTCAAGGAGATGAACAAATCACTTCGAACGTGGCACTTTGCTGCCCTGAAGAAGGGTGAACCCTTCTCGTTGCCTCAACGTATAGAGGGAAGCATTGCTGAGAGGAAGGAGAACACGGTATTCATCGAGGGGAACCCTGCAAGAACGTACCACACAGCAGGACTCCTCAAACTCCTCGAGGAGCATGTCTCGCAGAACATTGTCAAAGTGGGCAAAAGATTCTACCGCCAAAAGCGCGGGATTCCTCAGGGGTCGGTTGTATCTTCATTTCTCTGCAATTACTTTTATGCAGATCTCGAAGCACAACACCTTGACTTCCTGAACGGCACGGACAGTATCTTGCTGAGATTCATCGACGATTTCCTCTTCATCACACAGGACAAGAAAAAGGCAGTCCAGTTTGTCGAGACGATGCATCGAGGTGTGCCAGAGTACGGTGTTGAAGTGAACGCCAAGAAGACGTTGCTGAATTTCAATATGAAATTTCAAGATGAGCATCTCTCGACAATCTCTCATGGGGAGAAGTTCCCGTATTGTGGGACTCTTATTGATCCCCAGACACTGGAGATCAGTCGAAATCATAACAAAGACCCTGATAATGGTGAGTTCTCTTACAAAATCGACGCTCCATCAGAACATCCAATTGACCTGCTGAGCATTAGGAATCGCAAACTCCTTGACCGTGGAGTTTGGCCGGCTCCCTGGGCAAAACTTCGAGAAGAAGATGCTCCGTAAGTTTCAATATGAAATGTTTTAATTCGTCTCACTGACAACCTTTCCAAAGATGCCTTTAGAATCCAGTCAAAACCCATGTATTATGATACTTCGCACAACTCAACGACCACCGTTCTGGAATCTCTTTCTGGGGCTTTCTACGAGACCGCCCAGAAGATGTCGGCATATATTCATTGCCTACCCAAAAGAAAGAGACCTAGCAAGCCCTTGATCATTCGTACGATATCTTGCCACCGAACCTCCTGTTCACTTCGGTTCTAATACGCATTAATAGGTTCAATCATCAAGATAGTCGATGTTGCCTTTTCGCTCCTAACTGGAAAGTCGAGAAGAATGCGACTCGACGGATACTCTTGCGATTTGAGAAAGGGACAAGTGTTCCGGTATGTGCTCCAGCTTCTTTCTTTCTCTTCTCGCATCCAACCCCCGGTCTAATTTACTGAACTCTAGGACTGGGTATCGAGCATTCATCGAGGTGCTAAGCAAGAGGCAGACGGCTTACGGAGATGTCATCAACTGGTTAAAAAAGGAGGTTGAGAGGATCAACTCTACGGGGGGGAGTGGTAGCTCCAGTGCTAAACTAGAAAAGAGTCTATGTACTTGATACTATGAGATGGTGTGTATCCAAAAAAACAAATGTCTATTGGCATAATTTCTATAACCTATACCGCCACTTGTCCAAAAATCGATGCCGCGCAACTCCTCGCTGTCCATGCCGGTGCAACCCTATATCCTGATACCACTCTGCCACCACTTGGGCGCGGTGTACCACCGGGGCCAATGGTGTTCATCCCAGCGCCACCAGTGGTCGGTCGGGTACCCGAACCCAAAAGCCCTGAAGAGCGAGATGGGGACCGGCTCCAGCAACCAGATCCCCGTGCTGGCGAAATCGTCCGACAGGAAGACGGCTGTCCAGCAAAGCCACGCGAAAGTAAAGAGCACGTTGGACGCTTGACCGACTCTCCGGTGGCGAAGGACACTCGTCGGGGGCAGGTATCTCCTCGAGGCGAGCGACAGGCAGGACTGCAAGGCGATGCCAGCAACCTGTGAGAGGAAGAAGGCGGGAGGACGCCAGAGCTTGGTGCGAGGGATGCAGGTGACGCTGCCAAAGGCGTGGAACAGGCCGGACTGCAGGAAGGAGGTGCAGAGGGCGATGAGGATGCCGGGGATGGAGTCTCGGTTGACGAGGCCCTTCCGGACGAGCCAGCGGGCAGGCGCGGCGAACTGGGACCTGAAGAGCTGGTGCCAGTACTGACCCCACCAGCCTGCGAGCCCGCGCTCGAGCACGTTCCTGAAGGAGCCAAAGGTGGAAGGGTTCATCCAAAGTTCGCCGCGCATGGGCCAGAGACAGCTTACGAGGAAGTACTGGACGAGGTCGTTGAGGTTGAAGATTCCGGATATAGCGCTCAGTATGCCGACGAGGCAGAGCGTTTCACGGTAGAGGTAGAGGATCCAAGGGGAGAGGCGGGCGAGGTGGGGAGGTAAGGGGTAGTTGGCGGCCTGGTCTGGCCCCAAGACGAAGTATGGGTCTTTCATCATGAAGACGGCGAGAAAGTCAAGGGCGAGGTACATGATACCTACTGTCTTGATACGGTCCCAGACGAATTCTGAGTGAGAGAGGCAGCGACGGTAACCAGCCTCGGTGACGATAGGTATGGAATCTAGATCGAATGGCGTGGTGGGAAGAGATTCGCCAGTTATGGAACCATGATCGAGTTTTGGGCGTGGTAATGCAGATATGGACCAGTTCCAGCCTGGAGAAGGTTAGCGAACCGAGAGAAGTGTTTGCGGCGGGGGAAGAAGAAAACGGAAGGGTTTCATCGAGTCTAGGTCTGGGACGGGGCCAAGTAGTACCTGTGAATCGGAAATTGGTTATCGCGTCAAGACTCCATTCGAGCCTCTTGCCAAAGGAACCGTGGGCTGGGAACGGTTCCCATATATATTCGCCGTCGTGTTTGGTAGCTGGAGATGGCCCATTGGGAGAGAATTGGTCAGAGCCCTCCCGGTGAGGCTTGCGATGATGGACACCGTTTTCACGTTGCGATGGGCTAGGGTCGTCATTGATGGCAGAGCTATGTCCGTTCTGAAGACTGGTGCTCGCTGCAGGAGCAGAAGGGGCGTTGTTGGGTCGTCTCACAGCCCTCGCCGCATACAGCTGTGGCTTCTTTAGGACCAGCAAAGCCAGTGTCGACATGATTCCCCAGTTGGCCAGCAGCCCAGCAGCATATCCGGCTGCCAGATTAGTGCTTGACGTGCCGCGAAGAATGTCGAGGTCAAGGAGGACGGCGATTCCGACGACGAGCCAGGTGGCGAGTTTCATCCATCTTGACTTCGAATGAGGTATGGCGAGCCACACAGCGGGTATGATCAAGGGCCCGAGAAGGGTGTAGGGGACGACGAGGATTCGGGCCTGGCCTTGGGCGACAGCCTGGGTGAAGGCTGCGCGGTAATGAGCGCGGACAACATCGCCCAGGTGCTCAATTGGCACGGCGGATATGTTGCTGGGTAGCAGTACGTGCATCTTGTCTTGATTTTTGTCTCTCTGCGAGTAGGTAGCCTGAGATACTGCGACACGGGATTGCTGCCTCGAGGAGCAGCAGTTGGATTTGTCGACAGCGGGGATCTGGCTCTCTGGGTTCCTTGCTTCTCTTATCTAGCGGTAGGGCACGAGCCGGAAACTATTGCATGGCCAGCACACAGAGTATGCATGACACTACGTAGGTGAACCGCAGTGGGTGACGGTGATATTATAGGTAGTGTGAGCGCAGCGCAGTGAGACAGTCCAGTTGTGGTGGTTAAAAGTGGTGGCGGCTGACCCAGTCCGAACGCCTGCAGCAGAGTCTTGGTGTCGCCCCCAGCAGGATAAATAACAGGCAGCGGTCGCTAGGTGAGGTCTGGGACGTGAATCAGGGCACTTTTTAGGAGGATGATAATGGCTTCTCATAACGTGACGTCAAAGACCCCGGGGCAACTGACCAAGTAAGTAGAAAGTAGGGGTCTTGGAATCAAACAGGGGGCTGTGACCATAGCTTAATGATTCATTGTGGATTTTGCTGTTGGTTTGCCTCTCCGTTTGGAATAAAATATCCGATCTGCACCCAGAACTATTGGCCGAGTCTTCTGTCCATCTGCCCGGGGAGCTAGTTTTAAACAGCCATTCTAGATGCCTACATCCTGCCCACATTCTTACGCAAGTACCTATATCTATCTTGTTACCTACACATGCACACCAGGATATCGATCAGTGATCGGGACTCCTTCTATCCATCTCTCTGCTTCGTGCTAGCATAAACTCGGCCAGCGTGATTTGCATGCAACATCAAGGACCAAATCGTGCAGATGCCTCTTGGGTGTGCGGGTGATCGGCACCACCCTGGTCTGGTGACACCCTCTCCAAATGAAGCACGCAAGCTCACATGGCGATCTCGGGACACGTTCACATATCCCCAGAGACAGCTCGCGGCATAAATTTATGCTGTTTTTTTCTTTTCTTTTTTCTTTTTGTGCACATGCGTGCGACGAAATGTGCTGACATGTGTCTAGTGATTGAGCCGTGCAAGCGAGAGATTTGACAGTTTGCATGGTATAGCTTCCTGATCAGTCTAGAGCCAGAAAAGAAAAAAGGCTTGGAGAGGTGAACATTTGATTCTTTTCAGTAGATAGGCTGTCGGTTGAGTAATGTTCGAGTGCTGGGAGGGGCCTGTCTGTTACTTGACGGTTCTTGTGGCGAAGAAACTTTATCCAAATATGCATAACGCTTGTCTGACTATCACTATTGGTGGTTGGTAGGCACAAAATTATGTAGGTTTAATCGCGGTTGCATGAACGTTAGGAAGATAAACTTTCGATCATCTGAATATACAGTTCGCTACCTCACATTCTTGGTGATGGCCTACATGATAAATCACTACACAGAAGCGTAGAAAGTTACGCGATACAATATGAACAAGGAGGCGAAGAATACCAAAAGATGAGTGAGTATTCACGAGAGTAGAGGTCAAGTTTTAGCAGTAATCACGCAGAAGCTAGTTCAGGATAGACACGGGCATTGCTCTGATGAAAACATCTCATGGAGACTGTCCTTAGCGAGCTGTGAACTGGCTGGAGGTCCAGAGACAACATGGCCTGGCAGTGATTAGACTGTATCAGAGAGATAAAGGAGAAAAGAAATAAAAAAGAAAACGAGTTGCGGCTGGTTTCGAACGCCGGGATTTGCACCCGGGCTGTGATGTACGGATTAGTATTTGAGTGACCGTTTTGGATATCTGCATCACTTACTCTCTCCCTTGGGAGGGGAGCAGGTTAACTTCTACCCTACGTCCGAGTTACTTTTGCTCGTTTAATTGTCCTTTAAGTAGGCAGGCAGTGATTGTCGGACAAGAAATAGAGATGGAAGGCTGGCGATTGGCAGGCTGCGTACGGCTGTGTAGGATGCCTGCGGTGGCTGCATTAGCCTGTCAGAACGTCTGTGGGCAGCCGTGAGTGTGCGTGGCAGCTGCATGGTAAGCGAATGAACAGCATATGATTTATGGGTCAAAGGCCAATAATGAGTTGCCAAGATGTAAGTATCCGTGTCGACCTTCCTCGAGGCGGCTATCGAACAGCCTCTCAGCCAGGATGTCCGTGCCAGCGTAAGACGGTCGGTTTCACTTCATCGGCTGTATGCTGCTATTCACCGAGCGAAAATGCAAAGGAAAATGTCCTGCAGCACCCATCAGTCCATAGTATTATTCGAATCTGCGCACAAGACCTGGCAGGAGGCCCTCCTCGACTGATATATTGGACGGCCACCTGCCTAATGACACCCCCCAAACAAACACATGGGTGTTAAATGCTGGGCCATTGCCCCGCGGCAAGGAAAGACAGTCATCAATGTCTCAGTTTCCAGAATAATCCGACTGCGATACCGTCTCTTTTAGTTTTGGATGGCGATGTCTGGTTCTCTCTTGCTTGCCTAGCACATGGCAATCTACTTCAGTATGGTTGATGTCCGATTCTCTCATGTATACAAGATTCCCGGATATAACCCATGCTATTATGGTCATATAGATTTGCGACAATGTTGACCAATGCAGAAACGGTTCGCTGTAGGTTATTGAGACTGGTCATGCCAATAGATAAAAGATGCTGGGAAGGACGGCATTCAAGCTACACTCCAAGAATAGGATAAAATCATCAGGGTGGACATATTGGTAGGATTAGTCGACAAAGCAATTTTGGAAGAAAATCCCTGAGAGATGTTGAAACTCAAAACCCACACGGTTTGATGCTCGCTGCGAGATGAATTGGGACTCGGCGTAGTGATCAAGCGAGGCTGTCGGTTGGGTACACGATCACCGAACACTGCCGGCCCCGATCGGCTGTCGCTAGGCATCCATTGGTCTCTTAGGATTTGTCCATGTGGACCGACCACCTTGATGTCCAGGGTCGACTAGGGGCCGTCTGGGGATACGTGCGTCCTCACGCTCCCAGCAGGAAACTTGCTCAGTCGTAGCACATGGAAGACACACTTTTGGCCAGGCCTGAGTTGGATAGTTGGTGAACTTAGAACAGGACAAGGAAGGTGTGGCGGCCTGACATACCATTAATAATCACGACGCCCGCACAGAAGGCACCGGTGGATCTGACTTTCCTTCTCTGCCTTCCTGCATTAATTAATGAACAGCCAGCCATATGAGATTATCCTGTTTTCAAGGCGTCAATCAATCTGGCCACTCATCATTGCACTGCACAGCCTATATATGGTATTACTCACCCACAGACTGGCGTTGGCGCCCGCGCTGATCTCTAGACCCGGTGGGCAGTAAACAGCTCCGTTCTGCCACCCTCGAAGCGCCCTGTGGACCCAGATTTATCCCTCCGAGTCCTCGGCAGTCGCAGCAAGCCCAAGTCCGCTGACGCTTCATCTCACCACCCAACTTGCCCACCTGTTGTCCTCAACCGAATGGCTCCCAACGACTCTCAAGCAAAGCCTGCCGGCCCCGCGGTCGAGAAACACCGGGCTTGCGATGCATGCCGTAAGTTCCGTTCCGCCTTGGTCCTATTACACTGCACCCCTCCGCCATATCCCACAGGTCCCCACCGCCTCCCCCCGTGCGTGCTTGCTCGGAGACTTATTCACAACCTTTCTTATTAGGAAACCGGAAGCTCGCCTGTACTAAGGAGCCTGATGGATGCTCTAGATGTCGCCGAGAGGGCATTACTTGCCATTACTCACCGCAAAAGCCCATGGGAAGGCCCCGCAAGCGGCGCATCGTCGAGGACCAGCCCCAGCAGGACGAAGAGCCTGCTGTTGTTGCCGTCGGCCGTTCAACTGTCGGACCTGCTGAGCTAGCCACCAGCAACATTCCTGGAATCAACGGCCATGGTGGTGACTTGCCACTCCCTCTCTTTACTGACCCAACTTTGGATTTGGATCAGAATCCATCGAGTAGCCTCGATTTTCTTGACCTGCTTCCTCCCTCCTCGTATCAAGATGAGCTGCCCTTGGACCCTCACATCTTAATACCCAACGACGGCCAACTGGATAGCATTGGAATCCCTTTGAGCTTGAATGGCGTCGACTTGCTTGAGAGCATCAACTTTGACGAACCCGACACCGCCGTCGCTGACATGTCCAAAGATATCAGCGACTCCCTTCAGCGTTACTGGCACGCGCAGCAGCAACAGCAGCATCTCGAGCCCGCAGAGTCACAGACCTTGTCCAGCAACCAATCGCAGCGCACTAGTTCCCCTGAATCACAACCTGAAGCACTGCCTGAGGCTCAACTAGCACCACCGCCGCTGTCCTGCTCTTTAGAGCCGAGCCCGAAGCCTATGCCCTCCATTGCCTGCGGCTGCCTTTCTTCTCTCTATCTTGCTCTTGACTCTCTTTCTCGCCTCCCCCAGGACATCAATACTGCCATGCGCGTTGCCCGCAACGCTACCAAGACCGCACACAACGTCATCAATTGCGCCTTCTGCTCAGATCCCGATCTCTCGCAACCCCCCCCAATCCAATGCTTCCAGAGCCTAATGTTTCTTGCTGCTCTTGTCCCATCCGCCTGCAACGCTTACGCTGCAATCCTCCAGATGATTGACCGTGAATCTAAGGAGGCTAAAAAGGAGAACCGCACCTTCTGGTTTAGTTTTGAGGATATCGGAGGTGTCTGGTGTGGCTCCGCAGAGTTCACCTTCCAGTGTCCTGAGATGCAAGAATACAACAACAGCAACATGGAGCCAGATCTGTGGCGCACCACAATGCGAGCAATCCTTCGTCTAGATGTGTACGGGTTAAGTGAAGCCCCGGATGGGCTGCATGGCCTTCAAGTGTTGGGCCTTAGAGACGTTGTTAAATCGCTCGAGGACCGCAGCCACCGGAGGCACGCCATTATGGACGAATTGGCAGAGTCAGGTGCATTGCCGAAGCACGAAGGCTTCCTACTCCACCACGGCGAATACAAACCTCTACCTGTGGAAGAGCGGAACTGCATCAAGGTCCTGGAAGCGGCAAGGATAGCGCTTGACCATCTTGTCATTGCGTAGGGTCAACATCTTTAGTGGCGGTTCGCTCGTGTCCCCCCCACCTCCTCTTTTTTTTTTCTTTGCTTTTTGATACCCTGGGAATCTACCTTCCGGTATAACTGGAACTTCTTTCTCAGAATAGGGGAAGTGATACCCCGTGGCGTTACGAATACTGGATGCATGAGTTGTTTGACATAGCGGGCCAAGTGACCCTCCAAATGAGTTGGCTGGGTGCTTTTTGACTTTCAGTATATAGTTTCAACACATTTTGATGACGAGGAGCAAATAGTTGGGAAATCCCCCGGAGTTGGAGAAAACGCTGGTGGGCTCAATTCGAATATCGAGATATATACATGATTCTCACACAATTTTGCCCCCCCAGATGCGACCTGTTCGATGATATCCAAGCTGTGAAAAACAACCAAATTCCAACGCAACCAGTTGACTTTCATGATGCATGCAGCCTTTGCCCAGTACTCAGTGAACACAATTTGCCCAACGCCAATTCTGCCGAAATATGCCAATGAAAATCCCCGTCCCAGATGAAACCATGTGAACCGTCATGACATTGCGATGAAAATAAAATAAAAATAGTGAAAACAGTCAACTCTCGAATCGACATCAATCGAGGTCCTCCTCGACCATGCCGAGCACGTCTAGCTCCGTCTTGACCAGCTGCTCGAACTCCTCGCGCTCGATGCCCGAGGCGCGGGAGAGCATGAACAGGCTGCGGATGCTCCTGGAGATGTGCTGCTTGACGCCGAAGTCGCTCTGGTCCTTGCGGCCGGCCTCCACCTCGAGCTTCTCGATGATCTGGGAGCTGCGGGAGCTGGCGCTCGACTCGGGGCGGGGGTGGAGGAGGCCCTCGTGGTTCAGGTCCGAGGTGGACCGCTGGCGGGTGGTGGCGGCGGCGGCGTTGTTGTTCTTGCTCTGGGGGTCCGAGAGGCCCAGGGCTGGGGGCATTAGGTGTGCATGCTCGGCCTCCTCGTCCGGGTCGTGGTTGTCCATCGCGGGCTGGACGTCGTTGTAGCGCGAGAAGTAGGCGTCGTCCTCGGCGGAGGCGGTGCTGGCGGGGACGTTGTGTCCTCCGACCGGCCCGCCAGAGGCCTGAGGCCCGGGGGAGTGTGTCTGGGCCGGTGTCCGCGCCGGGGAGTTGTCGTAGCGGGCCCAGTAGTCGTCATCGTCGTCCTCCTCTCCCTCGGCGGGGATGTTGGTGGCGGTCAGGCGGCCGCCGTTGGAGCTGTGTCCGTTCGTGACGGGCAGGGACCCCTTTGGCTGCTGGGCCTTGCCCTCGAAGGCCTGCTCCGCGGCTGCGAGGTCGGGCGAGGCGCCGTCAAAGGTCTCAAAGGGGTCGGCCTTTTCGACGGCGGTGACCTCGCCCACGCGCCAGCCGTCGGCTGCTCCCTCCTTGTCATCAGTGCAGTGGACCAGCTTGAAAGCCAGGCCGAGCTCCTTCAGGACGACAAAGGCTTGTAGGGTCTCGGCGTCGAGTCGGCGGTATCTCGTCTCGCAGTCGTGGTCCCAGTCGACCTCGATCTCGCCCGAGGCGGGATGGGGGTCCAGGCTGCCATTCGTGGCAATCTCAGCGAGCTTGGCCGCCTTGGAGGTGTCGTAGCAGAGGAGGCGGAGCCAGGGGTCCGAGCCGGAGGAGGAGAGGAACTGGACGCGCTGGCGGAGGATGGGCGAGAGAAGCGGGAGGACTATCGAGGCGGGTTCGCTCGATACGGCGGCCGCTGTGAGGGCGGGGATGAGGGGTGAGAGGAGGGTCGAGACGGCAGGACTTGGGGTCCCTGAAGGTTTTGTGACAGCCATCGAGGATGTGTGGGAGCTCGTGGGCTCGTATTAAGAGTAAGAAGTGGATTGATATATTAAGACGTTGGGAATAAGGAGTTTTTCACCCAATACCCCGTGTGGTCGGGCTCGATTGCTGGCGGGTGAGATGTCGGCTTCCTCTCTCCCACGTGGCGTGGCTCTCGAAAGCAGCTGGTCGTCGACTGACTGGGGAGGATTCCTGTCTCGGATTCTGTGGTGAGGGGGGGAGAAAAAGAGACTCGACCTCATTAAAGTGCGGTGGTGGCGATGTTCCAGTGGCAGAGGAGGAAAACAAGACTCATGCTGCTGGCCGGACGGGAGACAGCTTATACGTATTATCTATGCCCAGACGGGGTCGATCCGGTCGGCCAGAGTACAGAGTAGGTAGGTAATAATGGCATAGATTGAGCCCTTGGACTGCTAGCACATGCGGTGGTGCAGTTGGGATGTGGGCTGTATAATTGCCTGCGCGGTAGGTTGCATCTCTGGTGGGGTCTGAGCTCGGAGGAAGGGAAGCCCTCCACTTAGCCTTCAACGTCACTCAACCCGCCCATCCACTACGATTGCACACTGCTACTGTAGCAAGCAGAGCAAGCCGCAGCAGGCAATCCCCTGTCGCCCGCCTTGGCTCTAGGCACCTCTGACAGGCCAAATCTGGGTCCCCAGGCGCTCCAGCCCTCGAGATAGGCGGATCTGGGGTCATGCCGCAGCCAGTCACATGCTGCGAATTAGCACCTGGGTTCTGGGCTGTATCCGTTCACCCATGGACGACTGTGCTGGCGAGCCGTGAACCGAACCTCTGGGGTGTCATCGGGCCACGGTATTCTTCGGCATGTTCCTGGCTGAGGCCGGTAATTGGGAGGCGAAAACACCTCCGGATCCTGTCACACAATGCAGACTACTAATACTACGGGTCGCTGCCTACGTGGATGATGTCTTGGACGCTGCGCTGCCCAATTCTTCTGGCTGCAGGTCTCACCTTGAACTGTCCAGCAGACCTGCTACCATCAAATGCTGCCCGTGCACCTGGCCCATGTCCGATCACATGTCTCCTCTCGGTGACAGAACTGGCTCCCAGCCTTCCAAGTGGATTTAATTACCGTGATACCTGCGCGACCTCCCGAGCTGCCAGAGTCGGAAATGACCTCTGCCTCAGTTTTTGAGCCTGCACCGCTGCAAGGCGGCCCCTCCGAAAGAAAACATGACAACTGACGAGACTGGAGCATCTCACTCGCTATGCACCGACTGATGCCAAGATATTGTGAACAAATGAATAAATAAACCGCCGATAAAAAAAAACCCATCGGCTGTTTAAGCAAAGGTAGTTAGTCGGCCCACTTGATCCTTGAGTCCGTTATACGGGCCATCTCAAACAAAGGACGAAGTTAATACTCCAAATAATCAGGGCAACATTCATTGAACTTTAGGGAAGTTCTTATTGGCTCGATTTTGAAGAGATCCGATCTTAGCTACAACGTTACTACCTGAGATCGATACGAAGCTGCCAAGCACCGGAAACCTGATTTTCCCCAAGCACAGAACCGCCGGGCTGCTAAATTAATTAACCGCAGGATTTGATCAAAACAGGGGACGTGCGCTATTCGCCGAGGTCGGAGTAACAATACAGCGAGTGCCTGGTGTTGAGTCTAAATTGATGCGCCGCGTCCAGCCGCTAGAAAGCGGACAGGGGTCTAATCGCTGATCGATAGCAATCTTATCGTCATCTGTGGGGGTGTTATCTAGGGAGCCGGGGATTTTTTTTTAGCCCAGATGCTGAATCAAGATAACCCCCTTCACCTTGCCTTCGTCGATACGTCAAGAACGGCCATTGTCGTTGATTCTGTATTCGGCGAGACGCTAGGTGCTGATTGGGTTTACACTGTTGGCCCCGAACTATGTGAAGCTGGGTGTCTGAGCTGAAGCGAGCCACATACTGGAACCCGAATCATTGCGACCTGACCCTCGCCTCGACACCGCTTAACTCAACCCTAAGTCCGCCCGCTCAGGGCTGAGGCGATTGATTGTATGTCAGCCAGGGTAATTCCTCTCAAAGATGAAGGCACCAGACTTCAAGTCGTGTCTGCCGGCGCCATAGCTGGTTTGATATCTCGGTGAGCCACCTCTTACTGTACCATACACCCCCAAGGCTACACTGATCTAACCCCCCCTTTTTTTCAGCTTCATCATCGCACCTCTAGACGTCGTCAAGATTCGCCTGCAACTGCAGCCGCATTCTCTCACCGACCCCCTTAACCCCCTCCGCGATGCCCCGGCCTACCGAGGCGCCGTCGCGACAGTGAAGCACATACTCAAGCATGAAGGGATTACCGGGCTGTGGAAGGGCAATGTCCCTGCCGAGATCATGTACGTCTGCTACGCGTCCATACAATTCGGGACATACCGCGCCACGACGATGGCCTTGCAGAGTGCCTTTGCCGACAACAGACTCCCCGGCGCTGCCGAGAGCTTCATCGCCGGTGCGTCTGCAGGCGCCGTGGCGACAACCTGCACGTACCCGCTCGATCTCCTCAGAACGCGGTTCGCCGCGCAGGGGAGGCACAGGATATACAGCTCTCTGTGGGGCGCCATCTCGAGCATCAAGCGCGAGGAGGGCCTGAAGGGCTTCTTCCGGGGCATCGGGCCCGGCGTGGCGCAGATCGTCCCCTCGATGGGCATCTTCTTCCTCACGTACGAGCAGCTGCGGCTGGCCCTGAGCAGGTACAACCTGCCCTGGGGCGGCGGGGACGCGACGGCGGGGATGGTGGGGAGCGTCGTGGCGAAGACGACCGTGTTCCCCCTGGACCTCGTGCGGAAGCGCATCCAGGTCCAGGGCCCGACGAGGATGCGGTACGTGTACAGCAACATCCCCGAGTACGAGAGCGCGCGGAAGGCGCTCGTCACCATTGTACGCACCGAGGGGTTCAGGGGTCTGTTCAAGGGCTTGCCGATCAGCTTGATAAAGTCGGCACCGGCCAGCGCCGTCACTGTCTGGACGTATGAGAGGGCGTTGGGATTGTTGATTAGCATGGACGAGAAGAAGAATATGTGATATGATACCCGGAGGAGGTGTAGTTGAACGAAAAGTTCTCGTGCATTTTTTCTCTAGTTTCTCTTTATGTACGGTATGGATGGCCATCTATATAGGGTCTAATTTAATTCCGCGCTCAACACCCAAGCGCAAATTCATACGATGTCGACGGTTGCCTTTTGGAGCAGCTGTCCAACTTTTCCCCAGCTTTACCTTCCAAGGGCCTTGTTTGCTTCGTCCGCGCGCTCGAGGCATTCCTCGATGACCTCCCAGAACTTCTTCACGTCGCATGAACGTGGGATTCGGATGCCCTCTGAGCCAGCTGGGAGCTCCTTGGCGATAGTTCGGCCAGTCTCCTTGACCTGCGCCTCCTCAAACGTTCCCTCAGTGACGACGGAGACCTCGAAGCGTTCGTGGTGCTCGGGGGCTGTGCTCTTGGCGGCGTCCCAGTCGGAGAAGGAGATCTCATCTGGTGTGCCGATGAGCACGGCGGCCGCTGCCAGAGGGTCATGTAAGGGTGGGCCCTCGGTGATGCCAAACTTGTCACTTTATTTTATAGTTTAGTTAGCCCAACGATCACAAAAGGTCTAGTCTAACGGCGGGAGCCATTGTCGAGATAGACGAATTAAGGTTCAGAAACTTACGCATAGCCCTTGGCGAAGAAGTAGAGAAGCTCGACGAGCATGGTGCGCAGCTTCGTCTTCCCGGGACCGGTCTGCTCCCCGTCCTTTCCGTAGAGGAGCGTCTGGCGGACCTCGGCGGTAGCGAGAACCTGGTGGGTCAGGTCCAGAGGGATCAGCGTCGTCTTGGGGGCGAGCTCCTTGTTGCTGAAGAGCTCCGACGCCGCCTCGGGGTCGACGAGGATGTTGAACTCGGCGTAGGGGGTCCAGTTGCCGATGCGGGGCTTGCCGTCGATGACGCCGAGAGGGGCGTCCGTGAAGCCGCCCCCGACGGCACCTCCCATGACGCTGAAGCCCTTGACGTGCGAGGCCAGCTCGGGGTGCTTGCGGATCAGGGCGCCCACGTTGGTGACGGCGCCCGTTGCCACGATCCAGGCCGTGCCTGCTGGCTGGGCCTTGAGAGCGGCGGCCATGGCCTCGACGGCGGGGACGGGTGACACCTCACTCAAGGGCTTGGGGAGGAGCTCAGTGCCGTCGAGACCAGACTCTCCGTGGATGTCCGTGGGGGCGTGGAGAGCAGGGCGCTCGAGGGCCTTGTCCAGGCCGACGTGAATGGAGATTTCCTTCTCTTTGCCAATGGCTGTGATGAGGGAGCGGGCATTGTACGTTGTGTTCCTGTTCGATTGGTTAGTCTGGGAAGAGGTTTTTTTTTGTGCGGTTGGGTTATCGTGATACACACTTTAAGGAGGCATTGCCAAACACGGTGGAAATTCCCAAGAGCTTGATCCGGGGATGGTAAGCTGTGAGAAGGATGGCGAAGGCGTCCTAAGCACTGGTTTAGCATTTACCTACTCCTGGGAAGGTTTTGATTGTGATGCTGAATTAATCATGGAGCGCGAGCTCAATTCCAGCTGATTTGAGGTCCGTGTTCGGCGTCGTGATATTGATTGTATGGGAGCACCAAGTAGGTAGACACGGTGGGAAATAACAGGACGGTTCAACTTACATCGTGGCCAGGATCACAGTCAAGCCAGACGGGAATTTGAGAAGTCATGTTCTAGACTCTATTTTATTACGTTGTCGCTGCTATGAGATTGATTGAGACTCAGTGTATCCAGGTGACAGGCAACAGGGAACGTGTCAGCTCAGGAACGGTGTTGGCAAGATGAGATGAGGATGAGGTGGAGGGGTGAGATGAGGCCGACCGGTTGGGTCAGGGCAGTCAGTTAAGTCGCCCGCCGGGTTCCGTCTCTGGGCCGTGGATCTTGGTGGGGTTTCCAGTGTGCCCCTCATCTCGCTCCTTCACCAGCCCACCTCCGGACTCGCTCACGCTATGGCCTATCAATGCGGGC